CATACCTACCGCGTAGTCCATGTGAATCATTTAAAGGAGGAATTCACGATTAGAATGAAGGTCGAAGAAAGGGAAACTGACCTAGTTGAGGGACCCACGGACCTCCTGAGGGTGCGAACTGACGCGCAATTCGCATGGAAAAATTTGACCTCGGCGACCTATCATGCCTCAAAGCTGGCGGGTCCGGCGATCTCCGCCCACCGATCATCTGATCACTCGCCGTAGTTCAATACGTGGCGAGTGATTAGATAGCTGAGAGAGCGTAGTGTTGAAGAGGGCACAGCGATGAGAGTCGCATCAATGCTCAAATCAACGGGCAAGGAAGGGGTCCCATTTCTCGGGTTCTGGGCCGTTTCTCATGGTTTCTTCCTTCTTTCGTGTACCACTCACCATCCCTAGGTTAATTTGAAATGGGTTGCTTTTTCATCGTGAATTCGTCCTTTAAATCTGATCGCAGTCATGATATCATGGCGAAATCTCACCTCCACACTGTTTTGAAACATGGGTGTGGTACTTTACCACTGTTTCGGACCCTGCTGTTATTAGCTTTCATTGGTCCCCTCCCCCATCTCCCTGATGAGTATCAGATGAGGGTGTTACCGCAATCACACCACATCAACCTTCTGCTTCAGAAAACCAGATCCGCGTCGTGCAGACCGCACACCACAAGTAATGACGTGACGACGGCCTCCACAGAATATAAATGCTTTCTGCCCATGAAATGACATCGGTTGCACTAATCACACTATCATTCATATGCAACTATCAGCTATCACTATGAATCACTGGTAACCAGATTTACTTGGATTTTGCTTTGCTGCTGACATCATGCTCATAACACCGAGCAGTGAACAAGCAGTGCGAAGTGCTGGATTTCGACTGCGCCTGTGGTAAGGTCGGTCTGCAGCTGAACCTAACGAAGACGATGTTATGAGAAACGGATTGGTTCCTGATGCCCCATTCACGCTCAACGGAACGAACATCACCGAATGCTCCAGCTACGTGTACCTAGGTCGGGAAATCAATATGATGAACGACCTAGCTCCAGAGCTGAGCAGGAGGAAACGAGCGGCATGGATAGTGTATAAGAACATAGAGTGAAGTGGACTAAGAGCATTCGGCTCAAGGACGATGCTCGGAGTTACTCTATACACGCAAGTGCAGAGGGAATCCGGAGTTCCGAACTACGCCAACGATCGAAGATCAGGGACGCTGCCGTTTTCGCCAAGGAATCGAAGATAAGGTGGGCCGGACACGTCATGCGATTTTGCGATGACCGTTGGACCAGAGCGGTTACCGACTGGATCCCTCGGGACGTCAAACGAACACCTGGACGACCGCCGGCCCGATGGTCAGACTTCTTCACGAAAGCTCTGAACGAAAATGAAAACTTCGTGTCCCTCGAGCAAGGAGGATCCACTAGGCTACTGTTGCACGCAACAGACGGATAGGGGCGTTGTTGACGCTTGAGCAAATTGATAATAAAAAGACGACGGATGACAGGTATTAATTTGTAGTTGTGTGCTTGAAAAAATCTTGATGCCAATAGAAAAAGTCTGCCTCATTCAACCTCCTTTTAAAGTGCACAACGCATTCTATTCCCATTCTTAAAGGACGAATTCACGATAAGAACGAAGGCCGAAAAAGGGGATATGGCCTAGTTGGGATACAAGGGACGACGGGATATCTTGAGGGTACTGACCAACGCGCAATGTGGTAGCGAAAGATGTGACCTGGGCGCTCCAGCATAGCGGTTGGCCAGTGTACGCCCACCGGCCATCTGATCACTCGCCGCAGGTCTATACGTGGCGAGTGATTAGATAGCTGAGAGAGCGTAGTGTTGAAGAGGGCACAGCGATGAGAGTCGCATCAATGCTCGAATCAACGGGCAAGGAAGGGGTCCCATTTCTCGGGTTCTGGGCCGTTTCATATGGTTCTTCTTCTTCTTTCCTGCTTCACTGACCAACTCTAACTTAGAGGACGAATTCACGCTAGAAAGGCAACTCATTTCAAACTAAACTCAGCGATGGTGAGTGGTACACTAAAGAAGGAAAAACCATGAGAAACGGCCCAGAACCCGAGAAATGGGACCCCTTCCTTGCCCGTTGATTCGAGCATTGATGCGACTCTCATCGCTGTGCCCTCTTCAACACTACGCTCTCTCAGCTATCTAATCACTCGCCACGTATTGAACTACGGCGAGTGATCAGATGATCGGTGGGCGGAGATCGCCGGACCCGCCAGCTTTGAGGCATGATAGGTCGCCGAGGTCAAATTTTTCCATGCGAATTGCGCGTCAGTTCGCACCCTCAGGAGGTCCGTGGGTCCCTCAACTAGGTCAGTTTCCTTTCTTCGTCAGTGATCAGATGATCGGTGGGCGTGCACTGGACCCACCGCGCCAAGATTGAGCCTTAATAGGTCGCCGAGGTCAACTCCTTCGGTGCCAATTGCGCTTCAGTCCGCACCCTTAGGAGGTCCGCGGGTCCCTCAACTAGGTGAATTACTCCTTCTTCGACCTTCATTCTA